TTTCATGAGAGATTAGAACCCTTCCTGAAACCAGCCGACATTTCCCAAACAAGTTTCGAACGGTTTCCAGGGTAACGAAATTGCCAAAAAGACCGCAAATTGCCGAACACCGTAGTTGCTAGGTTAGGGTTAAGGTTTGGTTTAGGGTTAGGGGTATGGTTTGGGCTAGGGTTTGGGTTAGGGTTAGGGTAGGGTTAGGGTTAGGGTAACACATGCAACGTCGAGTACTTACCCATAATGACGGCCACTATATCTGATAATACAGATCTGCAGGTGTCACATCTACAGCCACTAAGTCTTGAACGCGGTCACTAATGTGAGTCACAGCGCGTGGTCTAGCTATAGCAGTCATGTTGACGGCACTTTGATTTGTGATTCGTGTCTTCTCCACTCCGTAATTGCACTGTAGCCAGGGGGCTGAACTCCGACTAACCGGCCGTCTAACTGGCCGTAGTTTAAAGGAGAACCTACACTTGTTGCTTATATTTATATGGTATTAATAATAAATATTTTTATTATTCGTAGGTTTATACTTTAGTCAAATTTTCAGAATTATTTGTAAATTAAAATAAACGTAGCATACTAGGATAGGCTCAGTGACAGTGTTGTTGTCTCATCTCATCCATGATGAATGTTTCATCATATCAAACAATCACAGATCAGCTCAGTGTTGTTGGCTCATCTCATCCATGCTTGCCATGTTTCACCATCTCATTCAATCATGGATTAGCTCAGTATTGTTGTCTCACCCCATCCATGCTGCCATGTTTCATCATCTCATATAATCACGGATCAGCTCAGTGTTGTTGTCTCACCCCATCCATGCTGCTATGTTTCACCATCTCATACAATCATGGATCAGCTCAATGTTGTTGTCTCACCTTATCCATGCTGCCATGTTTCACCATCTCATACAATCACGGATCAGCTCAGTGTTGTTGTCTCACCCCATCCACGCTGCCATGTTTCACCATCTCATACAATCACGGATCAGTGCAGTGTTGTTGTCTCACCCCATCCATGCTGCCATGTTTCATCATCTCATACAATCATGGGTCAGCTCAGTGTTGTCTCACCCCATCCATGCTGCCATGTTTCATCATCTCATACAATCATGGGTCAGCTCAGTGTTGTTGTCTCACCCCATCCATGCTGCCATGTTTCACCATCTCATACAATCACGGATCAGCTCAGTGTTGTTGTCTCACCCCATCCATGCTGCCATGTTTCATCATCTCATACAATCATGGATCAGCTCAGTGTTGTCTCACCCCATCCATGCTGCCATGTTTCATCATCTCATACAATCATGGGTCAGCTCAGTGTTGTCTCACCCCATCCATGCTGCCATGTTTCACCATCTCATACAATCATGGATCAGCTCAGTGTTGTCTCACCCCATCCATGCTGCCATGTTTCATCATCTCATACAATCATGGGTCAGCTCAGTGTTGTCTCACCCCATCCATGCTGCCATGTTTCACCATCTCATACAATCATGGATCAGCTCAGTGTTGTTGTCTCACCTTGTGCATGCTGCCATGTTTCATCATCTCATACAATCACGGATCAGCTCAGTGTTGTTGTCTCACCTTATCCATGCTGCCATGTTTCCTCATCTCATACAATCACGGATCAGCTCAGTGTTGTCTTACCTTATCCATGCTGTCATGTTTCACCATCTCATACAATCATGGATCAGCTCAGTGTTGTTGTCTCACCCCATCCATGCTGCCATGTTTCACCATCTCATACAATCATGGATCAGCTTAGTGTTGTCTCACCCAATCCATGCTGCCATGTTTCATCATCTCATACAATCACGGATCAGTGCAGTGTTGTTGTCTCACCCCATCCATGCTGCCATGTTTCACCATCTCAAACAATCATGGATCAGCTCAGTGTTGTTGTCTCACCCCATCCATGCTGCCATGTTTCATCATCTTATACAATCACGGATCAGCTCAGTGTTGTTGTCTCACCCCATCCATGCTGCCATGTTTCATCGTCTCATACAATCACGGATCAGCTCAGTATTGTTGTCTCACCTTATCCATGCTGCCATGTTTCATCATCTCATACAATCACGGATCAGCTCAGTGTTGTTGTCTCACCCCATCCATGCTGCCATGTTTCATCATCTCATACAATCACGGATCAGCTCAGTGTTGTTGTCTCACCCCATCCATGCTGCCATGTTTCACCATCTCATACAATCATGGATCAGCTTAGTGTTGTCTCACCCAATCCATGCTGCCATGTTTCATCATCTCATACAATCATGGATCAGCTCAGTGTTGTTGTCTCGCCCCATCCATGCTGCCATGTTTCACCATCTCATACAATCACGGATCAGCTCAGTGTTGTTGTCTCACCTTATCCATGCTGCCATGTTTCCTCATCTCATACAATCACGGATCAGCTCAGTGTTGTCTCACCTTACCCATGCTGCCATGTTTCATCATCTCATACAATCACGAATCAACTCAGTGTTGTTGTCTCACCTTATGCATGCTGCCATGTTTCACCATCTCATACAATCACGGATCAGCTCAGTGTTGTCTCACCTTACCCATGCTGCCATGTTTCACCATCTCATACAATCACGAATCAACTCAGTGTTGTTGTCTCACCTTATGCATGCTGCCATGTTTCATCATCTCATACAATCACAGATCAGCTCAGTGTTGTCTCACCTTATCCATGCTGTCATGTTTCACCATCTCATACAATCATGGATCAGGTCAGTGTTGTTGTCTCACCCCATCCATGCTGCCAGGTTTCACCATCTCATACAATCATGGATCAGCTTAGTGTTGTCTCGCCCCATCCATGCTGCCATGTTTTATCATCTCATACAATCATGGATCAGCTCAGTGTTGTTGTCTCGCCGCATCCATGCTGCCATGTTTCACCATCTCATACAATCACGGATCAGCTCAGTGTTGTTGTCTCACCCCATCCATGCTGCCATGTTTCATCATCTTATACAATCACGGATCAGCTCAGTGTTGTTGTCTCACCCCATCCATGCTGCCATGTTTCATCGTCTTATACAATCACGGATCAGCTCAGTATTGTTGTCTCACCTTATCCATGCTGCCATGTTTCCTCATCTCATACAATCACGGATCAGCTCAGTGTTGTTGTCTTACCCCATCCATGCTGCCATGTTTCCATCTCATACAATCACGGATCAGCTCAGTGTTGTTGTCTCACCTTATTCATGCTGCCATGTTTCCTCATCTCATACAATCACGGATCAGCTCAGTGTTGTTGTCTCACCCCATCCATGCTGCCATGTTTCTTCATCTCATACAATCACGGATCAGCTCAGTGTTGTTGTCTCACCCCATCCATGCAGCCATGTTTCATCATCTCATACAATCACGGATCAGCTCAGTGTTTTTGTCTCACCCCATCCATGCTGCCATGTTTCACCATCTCATACAATCATGGATCAGCTCAGTGTTGTTGTCTCACCCCATCCATGCTGCCATGTTTCACCATCTCATACAATCACGGATCAGCTCAGTGTTGTTGTCTCACCCCATCCATGCTGCCATGTTTCATCATCTCATACAATCATGGATCAGCTCAGTGTTGTTGTCTCACCCATCCATGCTGCCTTGTTTCCTCATCTCATACAATCACGGATCAGCTCAGTGTTGTTGTCTCACCCCATCCATGCTGCCATGTTACACCATCTCATACAATCATGGATAAGCTCAGTGTTGTTGTCTCACCCCATCCATGCTGCCAGGCTGTTCAGATATTCATCCTTGTCTGAATCACTATGTTGTTGTCTCACCCCATCCATGCTGCCATGTTACACCATCTCATACAATCACGGATCAGCTCAGTGTTGTTGTCTCACCCCATCCATGCTGCCAGGCTGTTCAGATATTCATCCTTTTCTGGATCACCATGTTGTTGTCTCACCCCATCCATGCTGCCAGGCTGTTCAGATATTCATCCTTGTCTGGATCACCATGTTGTTGTCTCACCCCATCCATGCTGCCAGGCTGTTAAGATATTCATCCTTGTCTGGATCACCATGTTGTTGTCTCACCCCATCCATGCTGCCAGGCTGTTCAGATATTCATCCTTGTCTGGATCACCATGTTGTTCTCTCACCCCATCCATGCTGCCAGGCTGTTCAGATATTCATCCTTGTCTGGATCACCATGTTGTTGTCTCACCCCATCCATGCTGCCAGGCTGTTCAGATATTCATCCTTGTCTGGATCACCATGTTGTTGTCTCACCCCATCCATGCTGCCAGGCTGTTCAGATATTCATCCTTGTCTGGATCACCATGTTGTTGTCTCACCCCATCCATGCTGCCAGGCTGTTCAGATATTCATCCTTGTCTGGATCACCATGTTGTTGTCTCACCCCATCCATGCTGCCCGGCTGTTCAGATATTCATCCTTGTCTGGATCATTATGTTGTTGTTTAGAGCAGACAGTGCATCAAAGTACAATTATTTGTTGCCTAACTAAGATGGTGATGTTTGAAGATCATGCATTTCTTCTGCCTGTGACTGGAAGTGTTGCTGTTGTTGAGTGTGCCAGCTATATTCCCCCTTGCCCTGTGACTACCCATCCTTGCTCTTGATTGTTGAGTGTGCCAGCTGTATCCCCCTTTTCCCTGTGACTACCCATCCTTGCTCTTGATTGTTGAGTGTGCCAGCTGTATCCCCCCTTGCCCTGTGACTACCCATCCTTGCTCTTGATTGTTGAGTGTGCCAGCTGTATCCCCCCTTGCCCTGTGACTACCCATCCTTGCTCTTGATTGTTGAGTGTGCCAGCTGTATTTCCCCCTTGCCCTGTGACTACCCATCCTTTCTCTTGATTGTTGTCTAATGTAACACCAACCTGTCAACAGACTGTGACCTCCTGAGGGGCTGGTGACCTGATTGCAGTGTCAGGAGCAGATGCCACATTGGACCAGCAGCACATCCATCAGTCGTGTTTGACTTGCCAGTTGGTGCACACCATGTTGGGAATGTCCCTATCTGCAGCAAGGGGTCTTAGTGGTCCAATCTATCATGTACATGAGGTTTGTGCAGCTATAGTTGTCTACATATAACTATATGAGGTGTGTGCTGCTACAGTTGTCTACATGTAACTATATGAGGTTTGTGCTGCTATATTTGTCTACATGTAACTATATGAGGTTTGTGAAGCTACAGTTGTCTACATGTAACTATATGAGGTTTGTGCAGCTACAGTTGTCTACATGTAACTATATGAGTTTTGTGCCACTACAGTTGTCTGCATGTAACTCTATGAGGTTTGTGCCGCTACAGTTGTCTACATGTAACTATATGAGGTTTGTGCCACTAAATTTGTCTACATGTAACTATATGAGGTGTGTGCCGCTACAGTTGTCTACATGTAACTATATGAGGTTTGTGCAGCTACATTTGTCTACATGTAACTATATGAGGTTTGTGCCACTAAAGTTGTCTATATGTAACTATATGAGGTTTGTGCCACTACAGTTGTCTGCATGTAACTATATGAGGTTTGTGCCGCTAAAGTTGTCTACATGTAACTATATGAGGTTTATGCCGCTACAGTTGTCTACATGTAACTATATGAGATTTGTACACATAAAGTTGTCTACATGAGGTTAGTATGGCTAAAGTTGTCTTGTAACTACATGACATTTGCACTGCTACAGTTGTCTACATGACATGTGTACATCTACAGTTTTCTACATGAGGTTTGTGCAGCTACAGTTGTCAACATGTAACTGTGAGGTTTGAGCAGCTACGTTTGTCTACATTATAACTATGTGAGGTTTAGGCAGCTACGTTTTTCTACATTATAACTATGTGAGGTTTGTAAAGCTACAGTTGTCCACATGTAAATGTTAAAACTTGAACATGGTAACATATCTAATGTTGAAACTTGAACATGGTAACATGTCTACTGTTAAAACTTGAACATGGTCACATGTCTACTGTTGAAACTTGAACATGGTAACATGTCTACTGTTGAAACTTGAACATGGTAACATGTCTAGTGTTGAAACTTGAACATGGTAACATGTCTACTGTTGAAACTTGAACATGGTAACATGTCTAGTGTTGAAACTTGAACATGGTAACATATCTGCTTTGAAACTTGAACATGGTAACATGTCTGCTGTTGAAACTTGTGAGAATGATGATGTTTGCTTTTTGCTTGTTGACTCTAGGTTCCTGAACATTTCCATGAACACTTCATTCTGCGAGGGTATCGTCATCCCAAGAGCTCAGTGACACAGTGTCTGCTTAGTCTGTTTGATGCCACAAATGAGACACTCAACTTCTGGACCCACTTTCTTCCATCCTGGTGAGATAAATATCTTTGTTCTGTACCTGTAGAGATACTCAATATGTGGTCTCACTTTCTCCCATCCTGGTGAGATAAACATCTTTGTTGTGTACCTGTAGAGATACTCAATATGTGGTCCCACTTTCTCCCATCCTGGTGAGATAAACATCTTTGTTATGTACCTTTAGAGATACTCAATATCTGGTCCCACTTTCTCCCATCCTGGTGAGGTAAACATCTTTGTTCTGTACCTCTAGAGATAGTAACATCTGGCCCCACTTTCTCCTATCTTGGTAAAATAAACATCTTTTTTGTGTGTACCTCTAGAGATAGTAACATCTGGCCCCACTTTCTCCTATCTTGGTAAAATAAACATCTTTTTTGTGTGTACCTCTAGAGTTAGTAACATCTGGCCCCACTTTCTCCTATCTTGGTAAAATAAACATCTTTTTTGTGTGTACCTCTAGAGATAGTAACATCTGGCCCCACTTTCTCCTATCTTGGTAAAATAAACATCTTTTTTTGTGTACCTCTAGAGATAGTCAACATCTGCACCCACTTTGTCCAATCCTGGTGAGATAAGCATTTTTAGGCACTGCATCATCCATTGTTCTTTGTGTCCAAGGCAATCTTTACATTCTGGATTCTTTTGCATTCATAAAACAAAAGTAATGGTAATCACAGAGAAAACTAACTCTCCAGAAGGCAACATCAAAGTCAATGGAACAGAAGGCAACATCAAAGTCAATGGAACAGAAGGCAACATCAAAGTCAATGGAACAGAATGCAACATCAAAGTCAATGGAACAGAAGGCAACATCAAAGTCAATGGAACAGAACGCAACATCAAAGTCAATGGAACAGAAGGCAACATCAAAGTCAATGGAACAGAAGGCAACATCAAAGTCAATGGAACAGAGGGCAACATCAAAGTCAATGGAACAGAAGGCAACATCAAAGTCAATGGAACAGAACGCAACATCAAAGTCAATGGAACAGAAGGCAACATCAAAGTCAATGGAACAGAAGGCAACATCAAAGTCAATGGAACAGAATGCAACATCAAAGTCAATGGAACAGAATGCAACATCAAAGTCAATGGAACAGAATGCAACATCAAAGTCAATGGAACAGAACGCAACATCAAAGTCAATGGAACAGAACGCAACATCAAAGTCAATGGAACAGAACGCAACATCAAAGTCAATGGAACAGAATGCAACATCAAAGTCAATGGAACAGAAGGCAACATCAAAGTCAATGGAACAGAGGGCAACATCAAAGTCAATGGAACAGAAGGCAACATCAAAGTCAATGGAACAGAACGCAACATCAAAGTCAATGGAACAGAAGGCAACATCAAAGTCAATGGAACAGAATGCAACATCAAAGTCAATGGAACAGAACGCAACATCAAAGTCAATGGAACAGAATGCAACATCAAAGTCAATGGAACAGAATGCAACATCAAAGTCAATGGAACAGAACGCAACATCAAAGTCAATGGAACAGAACGCAACATCAAAGTCAATGGAACAGAACGCAACATCAAAGTCAATGGAACAGAATGCAACATCAAAGTCAATGGAACAGAACGCAACATCAAAGTCAATGGAACAGAACGCAACATCAAAGTCAATGGAACAGAACGCAACATCAAAGTCAATGGAACAGAATGCAACATCAAAGTCAATGGAACAAGCGTCAAACAAGTCGATATATTTAAGAACTTGGGTATCCTGATAACATCAGATGGAAGGTGTATTAAGGAAGTTAAATGTCGAATAGCTCAAACAAATGCAGCATTTTAAAAAATGAAGATTATTGTATGCAATCTTTCTTTGACAAGGCAAGAAAAAGAATTCTTTAAAGTTATTTAAATCCTATATTGATACACGGAAGTGAATCATAGACAGTTAGTAAATTTGTGAAAACTTATTTGAAAGCTGCAGAGACGTGTTTTATAGACGAATGGTGAGAATGCCCTGGACAGAAAAAAATAGTCATGAAGATGTCTTGAAAGAAACTGACTTACGTAGAGAACTGATTGGCCACATCAGAATGAGACAATCTGCATTCTTTGGTCATGAGATGGGAAGGAGAAAACTGGAGTACATCGGGATGATAGGAAAGTTGGAGGGGAGGAGAGGCAGAGGGAGACAAAGAGAACAGATACTGGACAGTTTGACGTCATGGCATGGAGGATCATTTCTGTCAGAGTTGATTGAAAGTGCACGAGACAGAAGGTTGTGGATAGACATGACTACCAACACCACACAGCATGGACTTTAAGAAGACATTGAGAAATCTATTTTTTGAGTTTAGACTTGGGGCTACATTTTATTTTTATATTTGATCCCTTTTCTTACCTACTGAACACAGCAAAAAATAGGAAGCATGACTTTTTTGGTCGTTCTTCATATGTGTATAGTTTATACAATGTACCTTATATTTTGTACTGTGCTATTTATTGTGTGTATTATTTGATATAAATTGTGCCTCCATAAAAACTTGTGGCCTGTATGCTTTGTTGGTTGTAAGGAAGTAATTCATGAGACTAATTCAGTCTTGTTCTAATTCAGTCATCTCATTTTGCAGTCATGCAAAGAAGTAATCCATGTAAATAAATCAGTCATCTCATTTTGCCAGTCATGCAAAGAAGTAATCTATGTAAATAAATCAGTCATCTCATTTTGCCAGTCATGCAAAGAAGTAATCTATGTAAATAAATCAGTCATCTCATTTTGCCAGTCATGCAAAGAAGTAATCTATGTAAATAATTCAGTCATGTCATTAACTCAACCGTCTCAATAAGTCAGTCATGTCAATAACTCGACCATCTAAATAAGTCAGCCATCTCATCAACTCAACCATCTCAATAAAAACCATCTCAAAAAGTCAGCCATGTCATTAGCTCAATCATCTCAGTAAGTCAGCCATGTCATTAACTCAACCATCTCAATAAGTCAGCCATGTCATTAACTCAACCATCTCAATAAGTCAGCCATGTCATTAAATCAACCATCTCAGTAAAAACCATCTCAATAAGTCAGCCATGTCATTAACTCAACCATCTCAGTAAGTCAGCCATGTCATTAACTCAACCATCTCAATAAGTCAGCCATGTCATTAACTCAACCATCTCAGTAAAAACCATCTCAATAAGTAAGCCATGTCATTAACTCAACCATCTCAGTAAAAACCATCTCAATAAGTCAGCCATGTCATTAACTCAACCATCTCAATAAAAACCATCTCACTAAGTCAGCCATGTCATTAACTCAACCATCTCAATAAGTCAGCCATCTCATTAACTCAACCATTTCAATAAGTCAGCCATCTCATTAACTCAACCATCTCAAAAAGTCAGCCATGTCATTAACTCAACCATCTCAATAAGTCAGCCATGTCATTAACTCAACCATCTCAATAAGTCAGCCATGTCATTAACTCAACCATCTCAGTAAAAACCATCTCAATAAGTCAGCCATGTCATTAACTCAACCATCTCAGTAAGTCAGCCATGTCATTAACTCAACCATTTCAATAAGTCAGCCATGTCATTAACTCAACCATCTCAGTAAAAACCATCTCAATAAGTCAGCCATGTCATTAACTCAACCATCTCAGTAAAAACCATCTCAATAAGTCAGCCATGTCATTAACTCAACCATCTCAATAAAAACCATCTCAATAAGTCAGCCATGTCATTAACTCAACCATCTCAATAAGTCAGCCATCTCATTAACTCAACCATTTCAATAAGTCAGCCATCTCATTAACTCAACCATCTCAATAAGTCAGCCATGTCATTAACTCAACCATCTCAGTAAAAACTATCTCAATAAGTCAGCCATGTCATTAACTCAACCATCTCAATAAAAACCATCTCAATAAGTCAGCCATGTCATTAACTTAACCATCTCAATAAGTCAGCCATGTAACCTGTGTGGTTTCTAGGTCTCCTTTATGGGGTAAACAAGAATAGACCCGCTGCCTCCCACCCCTAATGCAAGCATGTCCTAAAGTTGGACTGATTAGGAGTGTTTCTTTAAATTTGGAGGCAATCTGCCTGAGAGGAGAGGAACCAACAGTCTGCACACAAATAAGCCTTATCTGTACAGTTGATGTGCATCAAAACTCAGGTTCTCGAACAAGATCAAAATCCAGAAATGGACGAACAGCCAGAACTTTCGCTGGGGTTTACAGCCATTGACAACTAACACAGAGTCTTGTAAGTTATTTTACTGATGCAAACACCACATTAATTCAGTCATGTCATAAATTCACTGATGTCTTTGATTGATCCAGGTACTTTTTGTATGTTCTGTACCACCTGTGGAAGACCGTGGACTTTGTGGCAGACAGTTACACCTGGCCCCTGCTGTGTTACCTGCTGGTCTGTTGTGCCTTCCCCCTGACTAGTGCGGCTGCTCACCTGTTTAACGTCATGTCTGACAGAGCCCGTCATGTCTGTTTTTTCCTGGACTACTCGGCCCTCAGTTTGTTCAGCTTTGGTGTCGCCATCTTATACAGGGCTTATTGCTTCCCCTGTGATCTGCTTACAGATGAAGGACCCTTTACCTGGTACCGTAACAACTATGTCAACATGGCGGCCATGTTTGCCATTCTGTGTACGCTGATATCTTGTGCCACTCGCTTCATGAAACCAAGCCCTGCACGGAAAGCTCTACGCTTGGGATCGTTTGCTGTGCCGTATGTTTATGACAGCATTCCTCTGGTATATCGACTGATTCACACACGACTGGGCGAGCCACATTTTTCTGCCCAGTATCTCTACACAAGGCAGTTTATGTTTGCACTTCTTGCAGCATTTCTATATGCTTCTCACTTGCCTGAACGGCTTTTGCCAGGTATTTTTGATATAGTAGGCCATTCTCACCAGTTGTTCCATGTTTTCTCTATACTTGCTGTGATGGACCAGCTTCAGGCTGTGCTGCTGGACTTTCAAGAGCGGAGGGAATTTGTCCATCACCGATGGAATTTGGAACAACCCTCCCACAGCCTTGCTTACCTGGCTGCCATTTTTTGGATCAATTTATTTGTGATATTTTTGTTTACACTCAGGTTGCTGCGTCTGAAGCACAAACTAAAGACAAGTTGATATTGTCACTTCAGGAAATTGGTCTCCATTTTTTTTTAAATCAAGTCTCACCCAACAACAAATCAGAAAAGTTCTACAAGTCTGATGCTTATCTCAACTTAACTCATTTCACAATTCACTTTTTGATAACTGAAGTTTCATTGTTGATATTACCTCTTTAATAATTGACTTTACTGTCTGATATTTTACAGCTCTTGAAAAGCTGATGTTAACTTTTGGACTCTCATTGCTTGAATTATGAACTCTGTAAATGTGGACACTTTGATGGTTGCTGTTAGTTCATGAACAGATGTTTATACTTGTTTTGTCTGCATCATTATTATCATTGTCCCATCATATAACTTTATATGGGATGTTAGGTCACCAGTCGCTGCTGAGTGTCTGATCCTTTCCTCCACCTCTCAGTCAGATACAGCGAACTTGATGTTTGAGGCCTCTCAGTCAGATGCAGCGAACTTGATGTTTGAGGCCTCTCAGTCAGATACAGCGAACTTGATGTTTGAGGCCTCTCAGTCAGATACAGCGGACTTGATGTTTGAGGCCTCTCAGTCAGATACAGCGAACTTGATGTTTGAGGCCTCTCAGTCAGTCAGATGCAGCGAACTTGATGTTGCATGTTTGAGGCCTCTCAGTCAGATACAGCGAACTTGATGTTGCATGTTTGAGGCCTCTCAGTCAGATGCAGCGGACTTGATGTTTGAGGCCTCTCAGTCAGATACAGCGAACTTGATGTTGCATGTTTGAGGCCTCTCAGTCAGATGCAGCGAACTTGATGTTGCATGTTTGAGGCCTCTCAGTCAGATACAGCGGACTTGATGTTGCATGTTTGAGGCCTCTCAGTCAGATGCAGCGAACTTGATGTTGCATGTTTGAGGCCTCTCAGTCAGATACAGCGGACTTGATGTTGCATGTTTGAGGCCTCTCAGTCAGATACAGCGGACTTGATGTTGCATGTTTGAGGCCTCTCAGTCAGATACAGCGAACTTGATGTTGCATGTTTGAGGCCTCTCAGTCAGATACAGCGGACTTGATGTTGCATGTTTGAGGCCTCTCAGTCAGATACAGCGGACTTGATGTTGCATGTTTGAGGCCTCTCAGTCAGATGCAGCGAACTTGATGTTGCATGTTTGAGGCCTCTCAGTCAGATGCAGCGGACTTGATGTTGCATGTTTGAGGCCTCTCAGTCAGATACAGCGGACTTGATGTTGCATGTTTGAGGCCTCTCAGTCAGATACAGCGGACTTGATGTTGCATGTTTGAGGCCTCTCAGTCAGATGCAGCGGACTTGATGTTGCATGTTTGAGGCCTCTCAGTCAGATGCAGCGGACTTGATGTTGCATGTTTGAGGCCTCTCAGTCAGATGCAGCGAACTTGATGTTGCATGTTTGAGGCCTCTCAGTCAGATGCAGCGGACTTGATGTTGCATGTTTGAGGCCTCTCAGTCATATACAGCGGACTTGATGTTGCATGTTTGAGGCCTCTCAGTCAGATGCAGCAGACTTGATGTTGCATGTTTGAGGCCTCTCAGTCAGATGCAGCGGACTTGATGTTGCATGTTTGAGGCCTCTCAGTCAGATACAGCGGACTTGATGTTGCATGTTTGAGGCCTCTCAGTCAGATACAGCGGACTTGATGTTGCATGTTTGATGCCTCTCAGTCAGATACAGCGGACTTGATGTTGCATGTTTGAGGCCTCTCAGTCAGATACAGCGGACTTGATTTTTAAGGCCTCTCAGTCAGATGCAGCGGAGTTGATGTTTGAGGCATCTCAGTCAGTCAGATGCAGCGGACTTGATGTTTGAGGCCTCTCAGTCAGACGCAGCGGACTTGATGTTTGCATGTTTGAGGCCTCTCAGTCAGATACAGCGGACTTGATTTTTAAGGCCTCTCAGTCAGATGCAGCGGAGTTGATGTTTGAGGCCTCTCGGTCAGTCAGATGCAGCGGACTTGATGTTTGAGGCCTCTCAGTCAGATGCAGAGGAGTTGATGTTTGAGGCCTCTCAGTCAGACGCAGCGGACTTGATGTTTGCATGTTTGAGGCCTTTCCTGTCAGACACAGCGGACTTGATGTTTGCATGTTTGTGAGGCCTCTCCTATCAGCCAAATTCTATATCCAGTCAGAAAAGTTATGTATCAAGGTTTTTCTCGTGGTCTGCCTCAAGTCCTCCTGTTGTTGTTACTGGGATATGTTGTTACTTTGAATGTAGCTACTGAAAAGCACAAGTTTTATGTGGTTTTATATTGTTTTTGTAGTATGTAGCTATCTTTGCTCTCTCTCTCTCCCTCCCTCTTTCTCTCCCTCCCTCTTTCTCTCTCTCTCTCTCTCTGTCTCTCTCTATCTCTCTCTATCTCTATCTTTCATTTGCTCCCTTTTTACAAACATATATCCAATTACAGTTAAAAAACATAAATAGCAAAATGTTGTCTTGTCTGCCCCCTCCCCCACCCCCCAATCTCTCTCTCTCTCTCTTACACACATACTCATTGTGGAGTATCTATGTTTATTTCTCTCTCTGAGTGCTGAAAGTAAATGCTGAGTGTGCTGTAGAGACAGTAAAGGCTGAGTGTGCTGTAGAGACAGTAAAGGCTGAGTGTGCTGTAGAGACAGTAAATGCTGAGTGTGCTGTAGAGACAGTAAATGCAGAGTGTGCTGTAGAGACAGTAAATGCTGAGTGTGCTGTAGAGTCAGTAAAGGCTGAGTGTGTTGTAGAGAAAGTAAATGCTGAGTGTGCTGTAGAGACAGTAAATGCTGAGTGTGCAGTAGATACAGTAAATGCTTAGTGTGCTATAGAGACAGTAAAGGCTGAGTGTGCTGTAGAGACAGTAAATGCTGAGTGTGCTGTAGAGACAGTAAATGCTGAGTGTGCTGTGGAGACAGTAAATGCTGAGTGTGCTGTAGAGACAGTAAATGCTGAGTGTGCTGTAGAGACAGTAAAGGCTGAGTGTGCTGTAGAGACAGTAAATGCTGAGTGTGCTGTAGAGACAGTAAATGCCGAGTGTGCTGTAGAGACAGTAAATGCTGAGTGTGCTGTAGAGACAGTAAAGGCTGAGTGTGCCGTAGAGACAGTAAATGCTGAGTGTGCTGTAGAGACAGTAAATGCTGAGTGTGCCGTAGAGACAGTAAAGGCTGAGTGTGCCGTAGAGACAGTAAATGCCGAGTGTGCAGTAGAGACAGTAAATGCCGAGTGTGCTGTAGAGACAGTAAATGCAGAGTGTGCAGTAGAGACAGTAAATGCTGAGTGTGCTGTAAAGACAGTAAAGGCTGAGTGTGCTGTAGAGACAGTAAATGCTGAGTGTGCTGTAGAGACAGTAAATGCTGAGTGTGCTGTAGAGACATTAATTGCTGAGTGTGCAGTAGAGACAGTAAATGCTGAGTGTGCTGTAGAAACATTAATTGCTTAGTGTGCTGTAGAGACATTAAATGCTGAGTGTGCTGTAGAGATAGTAAATGCTGAGTGTGCTGTAGAGACATTAAATGCTGAGTGTGCTGTAGAGACAGTAAATGCTGAGTATGCTGTAGAGACAGTAAATGCTGAGTGTGCTGTAGAGACATTAAATGCTGAGTGTACTGTAGAGACATTAAATGCTGAGTGTGCTGTAGAGACAGTAAATGCCGAGTGTGCTGTAGAGACAGTAAATGCTGAGTGTGCTGTAGAGACAGTAAATGCCGAGTGTGCAGTAGAGACAGTAAATGCCGAGTGTGCAGTAGAGACAGTAAATGCTGAGTGTGCTGTAGAGACAGTAAATGCTGAGTGTGCAGTAGAGACAGTAAATGCTGAGTGTGCTGTAGAGACAGTAAATGCTGAGTGTGCTGTAGAGACAGTAAAGGCTGAGTGTGCTGTAGAGACAGTAAATGCTGAGTGTGCTGTAGAGACAGTAAATGCCGAGTGTGCTGTAGAGACAGTAAATGCTGAGTGTGCTGTAGAGACAGTAAATGCTGAGTGTGCAGTAGAGACAGTAAATGCCGAGTGTGCAGTAGAGACAGTAAATGCTGAGTGTGCAGTAGAGACAGTAAATGCCGAGTGTGCTGTAGAGACAGTAAATGCTGAGTGTGCAGTAGAGACAGTAAAGGCTGAGTGTGCTGTAGGGACAGTAAATGCTGAGTGTGCTGTAGAGACAGTAAATGCCGAGTGTGCTGTAGAGACAGTAAATGCTGAGTGTGCAGTAGAGACAGTAAATGCTGAGTGTGCCGTAGAGAAATTAAATGCCGAGTGTGCTGTAGAGAAAGTAAAATTAAAAAAACACACCTGATTTTAAAATCAAGACTACCCTAATTGCACGTGTTACCTCTTATGATATTATGCTTTCTTGCTTACATATTGTAATGTTTGGCCTGCAAATCGTGTTTACGATCTAACCATTCAGCATTTCTTGGCTTAAAAATTGGTTGCTACAGTTTGCTAGTATACAACACAAACTATCACAATGTATGTATATTTGTTTGTTCACATGATATATTGTATGAATTTACATATCTTGCTTCAGTGTGCTGCTGTGTATAAGAAAGTACTTCGACTTTTGTAGCCTGCATACACTTCTTCTTTGTCAGACTATATATATCTGAAAGTTTGGCAGTTTATGTTGAAAGTTTGGTTTGAAGTCTGGCTTAATTGAACAGCTGTGTAGAAGAAAGTACCTCCACTTTTGTTACCTGTGCCAGATTGTACGTGTCTGAAAGTTTGGCTCACATTTGTATGCATCATCCGGAAAATATTTACAGCAACAGCCTTCTGATTCCAGATGATTACATTGACAAGAATATTGAGATTATCTATCTATTCACAAAATTATTCACATTATCTATCTATTCACAAAATTATTCACATTATCTATCTATTCGCATGATCATTTTGATTAATGTTGACTGGATTGTTTTATTTGTTTATTTACAGACTTATTTTGAATATCCAAATGTCCACATGATTATTGTGATTATCTATATATTCACATCATTATATATTAACTGTTTATATCGATGACCTCTTTATTTACACATTTGT